TAGGGTTTCTGGTGCTGTGAAGAGACACTATGACCATAGCAACTCTTATGAAAGAATGTGTTTAATTGGAGCTGGCTTATAGTTTCAGAGGCTTAGTCCATTGTCATCATATTGGGAAGCATGGCAGTAAATAGGCAGACATGGAGTTGGGGAAGGAAGTTGACAGTTCTACATCTAGATTTGCAGGCAGCAGGAAAAGACTGGGAGCCACTAGGCCTGGTTTGAGCTTCTGAGACCTCAAAGCCCACCTCCTAAAGATGCACTACCTCAACAAGGCCACACCTCCCAACAGTGCTAGTCCCTATGAGCAATGGGCCATTTTCATTCAACCTACCACAGTCTCCGTGTGCACAGGGGATTGTATTACACCAGGAAACTTTTTTTCAAATTGTACTGTATTTAAATATGCTGTCGATAAACCACCTGGCATCAGACTTCCGAAGTTTCATCCATCCTGGCTAAGTTAGGCTGAACTGAATTTTCATTCTTGCCTCTTCATGAGTTGTTTTGCTGCCCATCATTGTGCCTGCAGGGACTTCCACATATAACATCATCAGTTAGGACCAAGTTTTCAATAATGAACTTTTCTGTGGGATACTTCATTTCTAAACCACAGTAAGATGGGACAATACATATTACTATACTTTATCCTTTACTGAGATTTATACCACAACACTGGCTCACATGCCTTTGGAATTAGACTGAATTATAGTATTCGGTTTAAAGCTCTTCAGCTTTTACCTTGGTCCGTGTGGGAACTCCACAAATTCTATAGACTCTCTCTGTCTCTCTGTCTCTCTGTCTCTCTCTCTCTCTCTCTTTCTCTCTTTGTGTGTGTGTGTGATAACTTTCCTGCCTAAAGTCTCCTGTCCACTCTAACAAAATGGCTTTAATTATTTAATTGAAAACCTCAAAGGTATTTAAATATTGTTTCTGTTTCTCCAAAGAGCCCTCTATAGTATAATGAGAACTGTTATAAAGAGACATGAAGACAAAGATATCTGTGTCTCTTGGCCAAGTGAGAGTGCAGTGAGGATGAAGCTGTCTACAACCAATTGGCAGGTGCCTACCAAAATCTCACACTTCTGGTGCACTGACCTTGAATTTCCCAGATACCAGACAGATGTGGTGGTTTGAAAGAAAATGGCCCCAAAGGGAGTGGCACTATTAGGAGTTGTGGCCTTGGTGGAGTAGGCATGGTTTTGTTGGAGGAAGTATGCCACTGTGGAGATGGGTTCTGAGGTCTCATATATGCTCAAGCTGTGGTCCAGTGTTTCAGACCACTTCCTGCTGCCTGTGAGTCAAGATGTAAGAACTCTCAGCTCCTTCTCCAGCACCATCTCTACCTTCCTGCTGCCTTGCTTCCTGACATGAGGATAATGGACTAAAACCTCTGAAATGTAAGCCACCCACAATTAAACATTTTCCTTTATAAAAGTTGCTGTGGTCATGGTGTCTCTACACAGTAATAGAAACCCTAACTAAGACAGAGGGGACATTTGAGTTCACAGGAAATAGTTGTACAACATTCCATCTCCTCTTCCAGTACTTTTAATACTTCTTTTTGTCACCTCTTTTGCAATGTTTCCTGTGCTGTGGAGGGAGTGAAATAGCTAACTTGATTATTTTCCTCCATATATGGCTCAGCATTGAGCCATTATGCCACAACAATAACTGTTCTCAGGAGCTGGACAGTTATTAATCTGTGTAGTTCACCACTTTTATTTAAAAAAAATAAAAAAATAAAAGTTTCCCTCCATAACTAAACAGTTGTGATGGTTAATATTGGTTGTTAACTTGACTACATCTATAGTAAACTAAAATTCAAGCAGCTGAGCATTCCTGGGAGAAATTTTCTTGATGGGACCATTTGAGGTGGGACAACCGACCTTGAATCTGAGCCATGCCTTCTGGTTGTGGCCCACAACAAAGGACATGGAAAAAGGAAGCTTTTTCTTTTTGCCTACTTGCCTTCATTCTCACTGGTAAATTCATCTGTCCTGTTGCTAGTACAGTTCTTCACTAATATTAGAGTATACTTTTTGGGGATTCTGTGGTCTTTGATGGAGTTGAGGACAGATAGTTATAATTATAGTTTTCCTTAGTTATGATAAAAGATAAGCTACATATAAGACTTAAGACTCACAAAGATAGGATAGATGATATTGTCTTTAAATGTTACTAAATGTTAATGGACAAAATATTGTAACTATAGTTCTTATTTGATAACTTCTGTTATATATAATTTGACTATGTTAAAGTTAAAACCTTTCTTTTTATTTAGACAGAAAAGAGGAGATGGTGGGAGATGTCATTCTGTAAGCTGTCTCTCTTATTGGTTGTTGAATAAAGCACTGTTGGCCAATAGTGAGGCAAGATAGGTGGGAAAGAGAGGCACAGGCAGTCACAACGTAGGACGGGGGAGAAGCAACATGTGGACACTTCCTCCAGTAAGTGAAGACCACATGGAAATACTCAGATTAGCAATTACGGGTTAAATACTTAAGTCAGAGCTAGCCAGTAAGAAACAAAGCAAATGACTAATAGCTTATAATTAATATAGTGTCCTGTGACAGATTTTGAAGATTCCCCATGGAGGGCCTTACTCTCCCTGGGGAGCAGAGGAGGGGCTGGGGTGGGAGGTTGGTGGGGAGTTGGTGGAAGTGTGGGAAGAGGGGAGGGTGAGAGGGCTGGAATTGACATGTCAAGCAAGCTTGTTTGTAATTTAAATAAAATAAAAAATAAAGCAATTCTGAAGCTGAGTATAGCCTGGTTAGCATAGACTTGATTTTGTTTTTGCTTTTTTTTGTTTGTTTTTTTAATATTAAGGCCCTCAGGCCAGCTAGTTTTATGCCAACCTTCCACAAGCTAGAGTTAATTTGGAAGCATGCAGGGAAGTCTTGTTGATAACTAATGCAGACGGCTGCAGCTTACTGTGAGTGATGACACCCTTGGCTGGTGGTCCTGGGTTCTATAAAAAGCAGACTGAGCAAGCCAGTAAGCAGCACTCTTCCATGGCCTCTGCATCAATTCCTGACTCCAGGTTCCTGGCTTGACTTCCCTTAGCGATGGAGTATGACTTTGGAGGTTTAAGATGAACCAAACCCTTTCCTCCCAAGTTGCATTTTATTGTCTATCAGGACAATAGTAACTAATTATAAAAACAAAGCCCCTGGATCATGTACTTCCCCATCCATCTTTGTAAAGATCAGGCCTAAGAGGCGTCTTCTCTTCTTCCCTATCCCCATGGTTCAGTTCCTCTCACAGGTTCCAAGTTTTTAACCAGAAAGCGTTATTTGGCAGAGGCCTAGTTTATATTCTCTTTCCATGGCATCTTACAAGTTGCAAAACATCCATTTAATTATCTCCTTTTTTTCCTGTCAAGTCAGAGTCTAATGTAATGGATAGCATCTATATGTCTTTGCCCTGTCTCTCCATTATATAGGCAAACTCTATCTGAAAAGGCATCTTGGCTCCCTTGCATTTTCTTATCATCTACAACAAAAGCCACACAACTGGCATCACAGCCTTCTTCTTATATCACACCAATTTTTGCTACTTAGGGATTGCAATATATTCTGTAGTTTATCAACAGTTTAGGGACATTTCTTGTACTTGCATCGTAGACACCATTCATCAAGAGGGCATGTCACTCCATATAAAGGAATATGGATATCTTGAAATTCCCCCTAAGGATTCTTCATTTTCCATTGCAGAAAACATGCAACTGCCAATATTGTAAAAAGGGACACCATCTGTCTTAGGTTTACCATTGATGTGATGAAACACCATGACCAAAAGCAACTTGAGAGGAAAGGGTTTATTTTGCTCATTGTTCCATATAACAGCTCGTCATCAAAAGTAGTGCAGTCAGGAACTCACACAGGGCAGGAACTCGGAGACAAGGGCTGTTGCAGAGGCCATGGTGGGCTGCTGCCTACTGTTCCCCATGGCTTTCTCAGCTTGCTTTATTTTATTTTATTATTTGCACGTGGTTTCTCTGTATAGCTTTGTAGACCAGGCTGGCCTTGAACTCCTCACAGAGATCCACCTGCCTCTGCCTCTCCAATGCTCAGATTAAAGGCGTGAGCCACTACCACCAGGCTCAGCTAGCTTTCTTACAGAACCCAGGACCACCACCCCAGGGATGGCATTACCCACAATGGACTAGATCCTCCTCCATCAATCAGTTATTAAGAAAGTGCTCTATAGGCTTGCCTACAGCCTAATCTTATGTAGGCATTTTCTTGAGGCTACCTCCTCCTTGATGACTTTAGCTTGTGTTAAGTTGGCATAAAACTAGCCAGTACATCATCCTATACCACACAGGGAAAGGTAATTCAAGATGTTATATCCTCACATGAATGTCTCATGGGCCATACAACATTTCAGGTGTCATACAGCTATTCTTCTCAACTCATCTTTGCTTCAATTGGGCCCTGTTTAGGTAACAGTTCAGCTGTCTTAACTGTAGCTGAAGAAATTTAAACGTCCATTCAACCCAGATGTAAGTCCAAAGGAATGATGATAGTAACTATAGCTTAGGGAAACAGTGAGTTTATCAGAGTCACACACAGGAGAACAAGTGAGGGGTTACTAACAGAAGCATATCAACAGAACAATGAAAAGCCCAGCCCAGTGTGGAGGAGGAGTCATGAAAGCTTCATCCACAGAGCTCCCTGTACTATTTACAGGAAGCTGGCCAACCAGAAACTGCTATCCTAGTATTTGTAATTTACTGCGTTATGGCCTGCAAGAACTTTGAAAATCTTGTGACTCTGAGGGGTTACTTGAGCCTTGTAAGTTCCATGTGCTTCCTGAGCTTTGTAAGTTCCATGTGCTTCCTGAGCCTTGCAAGTTCCATGTGCTTCCCTAGCCTTCTAAGTTCCATGTGCTTCCTGAGCCCTGTAAGTTGGTTTACTTTCTAAGATGTAGGAGTCTCCTTCATCTTATAGAGGGCAACATTTTATTTGCAGATAATATCTATATAACACTTAGAAAGAATCAAAAACAAGGTCACATTTTACAAACAAAGCTCTAAGAATATTGGAATCGTTTTCAAACCCATCTTCTTTTCCAGCTCCAGGAAGGGTTTTCATATGGCAACTAATTGGGAATCCCTCCCTTTGAGACTGCAGCATTTCCTCAAATCTCTTAGAATATCAGCAGGATGATAAAACAGCACCTGGCTATGGTGCTTCGCAGTCATTCAAATGTGGATAAATGATGATCAATTTGAATCTCAATTTCTTCATCTGCAAAGTGTGATACAAAGTTCTCAATTACAAATTGCAATGAAAAATCAAAAATTTAAGAATACTTGTATTCATTGATACTGTAAAGTATGAGGTCTAGAAATGTAGCTTTTTAATTTTAGAAAGAACAGGGAGACTCAGGAGCTATAAATTTATACAAGTTTTATGACAGACACCAGATGTAGTAACATTTTCAAAAAAATATGGATTGGAAGGGTTAGCAGGAACATTGAAAATGTTCTGTGATTAGCTAGTTACAGTAGCTGGTGGCATAGGAGTATACCTGCATAAAATTTATTAAGCTGTACACTTAAGATTTGTATATTTTATATATATGTCACTTACATCCATGTATGTACAGATAACAAATAAAAAAACTATCCAACTTGACCTGGAGACAGGTTTTTTTTCTATATAGTTTTTATTTATTAGAAAAACATCTGTCCTTTGCTGTGACATGCCATCAGCTCACTACCTTTCGGACTGCAGTCGTCTGTCTTTTGAATGTGGCCCTATTTGTGAGCCAGCCTGGAGCATATTGTGAGGGTCACGCTTCATCACCGTTGACAGCTGGAGACGCCACCACATGCCTCTCTTTGGCACAGAGGCTCCGAGAAAACCAGGCAGTGGACTGTGCTGCCTGCCCTTAGCCTGCAAGGCACAGCCCTGGAAACAAGAGGATTAAACAGCCTCTCAATTTAAAGAGACAAGGGGGAGGGGAGTGTGGGCTGCACAGCTTATAAATAGACATTGCTCCAGGCTGCCTGATGATGAAGTGGTTGTTTGGTAAATTTTTCTTTTCTAAGGATGCATTATCAGAGACTGTTTCAAACACCAGTTCCATTTAGTGTTCTGGGTGGGATGCATCAGATCTTGGGCTATATTTCTGTCAGTCTTCAGGGCAGGCCTTTAATATTTTGAGTCACATTCCCATGGAGAACAGAGATGTTGATGATGATGATGATGATGTGTCTTTTGCCAAATGGATGAGCAGCTTTTGGGGTCACAGCTGGAGAGACAAGGACGAGCGAGGACTCCGGGACCGCAACCGACCACGTGAAGCCGGCTACAGGAAGGCGTCCCTGCCCTGTCCAGTGAGTTACCAGAAAGTCAGGGGAGCTGGAGTGGCAGGGAAGGGGGGTTCTCTTAGAAAATGTTTGAGGAGTTCTTTGGCTCAAGTTAATATTTCCAAACCTTTGTCCATTCTTATAAAAATTTCTTTTTATGTGTTTGAGTTGCCCTATAAGAGGACTAGTTTTTTTTTAAGGTTTAAGTAATAGTTTCTTCATTTTCAGTAACCTAACATATTGTGAACTATTAATGTCCCTGATAAATCAGAAATCATATCACTGAGTGACATTATGTAGGCCAAAAGAGGGGAATTCGTGGTTGTTCTGTGTAGGTGTTGTGGGTCAATGTGTGGCTTCCAGTTTTGAAATAGTGAAATTAGCTCATGTACATGATCGTCTCTGAGAGACCAGCGATTCCACAAAGCAGCTCACTGCCTTTGACAGGTATAACACACCTTTTCTTTGGGTTGCCATTGCTTTTAATTTTTTCTGCCATTGCTTTTATGATTAAAGAAGGAACAGCTCTCACGCCCTTCTCATAGCAGCCAGAGGCACAGGGCACAATGCCAGAGAAAGCTCCTAGGAGCGGGTAGGCAGGCTGGGCCAGGTTAGGACTCTTCAGCAGATGGCTAACACATTCCTTTCTTTGGCTGCTGTTCTGGAAGACTCCACATAGGCATCTACATCACAGGTACAGTGCAATAATAATACTATTTCTTTGTCACAAGTCACTTAGAATTTCAGCCGGTAGAGACAGCTTACCAAAACCCAGGACAAAGTAAGCTCGAGGGTAAACCTACTTAAGGTCATCTCTAGGGTCCCAGATACACAATGATTGTAAGGTAAAGTGTGCAAGGAATTACTTTTGCTACCATTGGTCAACAGCTGGAGTGATGAGGCTTCTCTTGAGACCCGCACATTTCCAAACAAGCCCCCTACCACATGAATGGTCAATGGCAAATGTGTGTGGGAGCACTTCCTCACTTCCTTAGGTGAAGAATAAGTGGGACTGGAGGCTGTCTGTGAGGCTCAGTTCCAACCTTCCATTTATATTTTTACGTATATGTCTGCGTGGTGTGCTCTCATGTAACCTCAGTGCAAACAAATGTTTCAGACCTGGTGAGGTTTCCAACATATGTGAACCAAGAGTACAGTTAGCTTGAAGTTTCCAGGTACGGGAACCAGGCAAAGATAATGAGAGAGAATTTGTGATTTACTATTTATTGCCACGGCTTCCTAGTGTCACAGGGAGTCTGGAAATAAAAGTAACACTTTACAAAGTATAGCTTCCCAAATAAGCTTGAGATTATTTTACTTTTAAACATATATAATACACTTTGTTTAGAAAATTCATGTTTAGCTTGCAGTGTTTTTTTGTCTTTTTTATCATTTTTTATTTTAATTTTAAATAGCTTGTTGTGGTGGCAGTGTTTTTTTTTGAGGGGGAGACACCACAGATTTATTGTCAACAGCATTTCTCAAGGATATACACATAGTGTATTATTCTGCTTATGTCTTATTTGACCATTTCCTTAATTTAGCCTGGATAGAGTCTCCAAATAAATAATCCACTTTGTAATTAGCAGATTAACATGCCTGTATATACTTTAATAGAACAATAGAGAAGAGGCTGTGGGAACAGAACCAAGTCAGAAGACAGTCTATATGGCCGGAGTTCCAGAAAAATAAGCACACTGATTCCCCTTTGTGTAAATATATGATGCGGCACATGTGTATGCCAATCTGTGCTCTGTTGTCCAAATATGCTGGCTTTTTTCTTATTTTGGAGCATCGTTTTAAAGTTAGTTCTTGGAGAATTCCACACAATGTGTTTTGACTGCTTTTGCCTTCTTTCCTGAAACTCCTCCCACATCCGCCCACACTTCTCCTCCTAGCCCACTTCGTGCCTCTTTTCCCCTATCACGACCAATTTGCAATTGGTGCTGCTCAAATGTTCTTGGATGTGTGGTCTTCCACTGCAGCTTGGTCAAGCCATCAGAGTCAACACTACCGGAGAAAATGAAAATTTCCTCCTCCAGCAGCCGAGACTTGCCAATAGCTACATGACTAGGGGGACTTGCCAATAGCTTGCCTCTAGGGGGTGGAAGAATGTACTGGCCCCCCTCTAGCCTGACACCCCTGACAGTGGGATTTGGTTTATCTTGAGCTTTCACAGGTTTCTTCATGTTGTCGTAACCACTGAGTTCATGTGTTGGTTTCCCTACTGTGACCAAAAGACAGTTTTCTTGAAGTCATCTGCCACCTCAATCTCTTAAATGATTTCTACCCCCTCTTTCACAGTGACCCTTGAGCTTTTGCAGGGGGAGGTATGGTATATATGTTCTATTTAGGGCTGGACATTCTGAAGTCAGTTGTCTTCTGCACTGTGGGCAATGGTGGGTCTCTGTGTTGATTATCATCAACTGTAATCAGAAGCTTCTCTGATGAAGGATGAGGATGCATTAGTCGAAGGGTATAATAATAGGAAATAATGATTAATAGTCATAGGTTCTCTCCTAGGGTATATATGGTCAGTCTAGCAGTTGGTTCCTGACCCACTAATGGTGCCCAGTGTGGGTTTCATCTTGGTAAGGTATCTTAAATCCAATCAGAGTGATTGATTACTCTGTGACATTCATTCCACAATTGCACCAGTGGACATGTCTTTCCAGATCCGTTGTTATTGCAGCTCACATATGGAAACATCTGGGTAAGAGTAATGATTATTTTCTTCTCCAGTAGCATGCCTTTTGGCACTGTGAAAATTAACCAGTAGGGTATAGCTTGCAGGTGAGTACCAGCTTGATGGCTCCACATTCTATGTCTTAAGAATGTGGTGACCTCAACAATAGGGCCTTACTGTCTAGTTCTGGACAATATTGGTCTTCAGTTTTTGTGTTATGTTTTAATCTCAATGAAAATAATTAATAAGGAAGCACATTCTGTCATTCTCCTTTTTATTCTTTCCCACTGCTGTAATCAAAACCTCTTCCCTCTCTAAATCTAAATAATCTTGATTCACTGTTATTAAATGAATAGAAAGAGCTTCCTCTTTCTTGCCCGTTTGGAACATGCTTTCTAATCCATCTTCATCAGTCCTGTGATTCAACAATACAGTAGTAGAAGATTAATTCACTCAATGTATTTTTTAAACACATATTTTGTTCCAGGTAGTGTGCAAAACATGGTCTCTAATGCTTGTGGAAATTTTAGTCTAGTAGAAAATATAAGCTGGTCGAGAGAAAGTCAGTCCTTCTCATAGAACATGGCTTTTTGTTCAGACTTAACCTGTGATTCCTAATTTAAAGACTTGAAGAAATCTAGCTTTACCATATTGTGTTAGGTGGGAAAAAAGAAGGTAAGATGAAGTCTGTTATACATTCTCTTTCATCATCACTGGGATGCAAAACAGAGGTAAATCTGTTTCCATGTCAACCATTTATTCTGCTCATCCTGTGGATGCATTTCTGATAGTGTAGTGGATTCGGTAGTCTACTCACCTCCACAGCTTGTTACAGTTCTTGCACTCTCGTTCTGCATCATCTGAGCCCCGTGTGAGAGGGCCATGGACGACACGAAACAGCATTTGGAAAGGAGACTGAGTGCCCTGAACGCTGAAGAATCTTCAGTGCCCTCATGCTCCACGGTAGACACTATGTATGACTGTCCCTGTGAAGTCTACCCATCCACACCCAGGATTCTCTTTTTCTTTCTTCAGGTCATATTTCTCTATTTTATATTCTTTAGCATATTTTCAAATTAAAGTAGTAAATTCTCAAAATATTAATAATCTTTGCCTGTGATGATCCTAAGGGCTGTTACACACTCATTCCAGGAGCAGTTCTCCTGTGGTTGTTCACCAAAAGGGTACACTGGGACTGGACCCAAGGGTATCTCTCAAAAAGCTGGAAAGAAAAACTACTGCAATATTTTATGATCCGCAGAGAATGAGTTCTCGTATTTTCATTATATTCATATTCAATGTTAAAAGGTAGCCATTCTGTAGCTCAAGGGAGAGAAGGACGATAGTGGAACTTTTAACAGTTCTCTGTGGCCCTTACTCTCCTCTCTGGGATGCTACAGTGGGAAACTGCTATGCAGGAGAGGAGGCAGCAGGTTTGGAAGGAATTCCTGCTGTCGCCTTTTGTGGTGATGCATTTTTCGTTATTTATTAAAGCTTGCCTGAGGATTCAGAAAAACAAAGTCAGCCACAAGCCATAGAAGCCAAGCACACACCTTTAATCCTAGCTGCTAGAAACTAGGAGATGGTGGTTCACACCTTTAATCCATGGACTCAGGATTAACAAGTAGACAGATCTGTGTGAGTACAAGGCCACCCAGATCTAGACAAGAGTGAGTGAGTGTAAAAGAGAATTACAGCTCACACCTTTAATCCCAACATTGTGGAAATATGTAAGACAGAAGCAAGGTCTCAGAGAGGCATTCGTTCTTCAGCCACACTGAGGAGAGGCAGCAGTTTGAGACTTGCGTGCCTGGATCAGCCCTTTCAATCCGAGCTAGAGTGAGAGCTAGTGGCTGGCTGCTTTGCTTCCCTGGTCTTCATCTTGAACCCTGATGTCTGTCTCTGGGTATTTTATTTTCATGTTATAGTCTTCTGCTTCCACTGGCAGTGTGGCTGCAAACGAAGTCCTTAATATCTTTGCTCAGATTTCCATAAATGGGAAGGTACCACGAGATTCAGTACATAAACACTCAACACAGCATCAGGTATTATTAGATATCATATAACATTGCTGAAGAAAGCTGTTAGAATACTACAAGGAGAAGGAAGAAAATACCTCACATCCCACAGCAAACATTAGATGGTTTAGGCTGCATTATCATTGCCCACCAGCTTTACAGCCCTACTGCAATCCCATTTAACTCCACAACCAAGTCCTCCATCCCTTCCTAGGCCCTCCTTACTACATAGCCCAACAGCAAACTCCTTCTGTGATAATGTGGGCTCACCTTTAGGTACAAAGCAGTCTGTGTTTCCCCTCTGAGCTTCTTCAGTTATAACTTGGCCATCATATGTTCACAGAGGTCTCCTTTACTCCCCATCCAGGTACCCAGCACCTTGTAAATATAAATAGCTGACATTTTTCTTGCTTCAAATATGTGTGTGTATGTATATATATATATATACATATATATATATATATATATATATATATATATATATATATATGTTCTGGTCTGAGAACGCAACTGAGAACAATTGTGAACACCACCCAACATGAAACATTGAGGTACTTAAAACACTAAGGTATTTATTTCCCTTTTTTTGTTGTTTTGGTACCTTGATCATGAGAACCTAAGTATGGACTTTGAAGATGGTGTTGTATTGCAAGATCAAAAAGTTGGACAAGCTTACCTAAAAATCATGCCGTTTGGCTAAAATGGAGTCATATGTCCTGTTTGTGCGATGCCTGTCTCTTAAACCCTGACTGAAGAGTGAGTACTGAGCCTATCTACTCTCTACCTTTTCCACAGCACCAAGTACTGCGTCTGATCCAAAGCAAACACACTGATAGACCTACCCCAGGGATCTCAGAAGAGTTAAAATTCTAACCATTGTGATAAGTGAGAGTAAGATTCCATATAGCTGAGTTGCTTGTTAGTCCCATAGCCTGGGTGGTGAAGACGTCGAAAATTCATTTTCTTTGGGTTCTGGAACTTAGGGTACCTCTACTTTGGTTGAAGTGGTACCTTCTTTACTGGGTCTTGTTGTGACTTCTCTATCGTGAGTTCCTGTCTTCCTGTGCACCCATGTTTCTCTTTCTCATAAGACACCAGTGAAGTGGGATCCTTCTAGAGATCTCCTTAACTAAATTGCTTCTATAAAGGCCCTACTGCTAAAGGCCCTGCTGCTAAATACAGTCACAATCTGAGTTACCGAGAGCTTCAGTATATGAGTTTTGGAGCAACACGACCCACACTGCACATCTAACTCACGGTATGAACAAGTCAAGGGGCCAGGTTCTACAACATTTGATAGAGCAAATGGCCAAATGGTGAAGAGACACACTGAGCACAATTAGCCAGATCACTGGTTACACTTGTGTATCACAAAGGAGAACTGTGGGATTCTGGGACAGCCTCTGCTAGAGACCTGACCCAACTATAGTGGCTGAGAACGGCCCTATAGGCAATTGCTGTTTCTTCTGAGAGTGAAAATGATTACCCAGGTCAAAGTTGAAAGAATGGCTGGGAAACAAGCAACAATATAAAGAAAATGTGCAGGTGGGAATGAGTAAACCAATTACAGTCTAGGATTCACACTCTGTCAGGCCTCAGGTACACGGGATGAGGGAAGCATCAGTAAAGCTTTTTATTAGCAAAAGGGGAGGAACTCACATGGGTCTGTTGTAGACAAAGGCTTTCATTCTTGAAGACACACAGAGGAGTCGCCATTTGCTCATTGGTGGTGCTATTGTTGGAAAGTGTCTCGGCAGAATCGTTGCAATTGTGAAAAAAAGTATGAACTCTTTCACATAAGTATGGATTTGTGTAAGAGGTACGAAAGTCATCCTTTATATATGTTATGCCAAGTTCATGAGACCCCCAAAAGAGCAAGGAACCGACTCACTGATGCAAACACACAAAGTTTAATGTTAAGCTACAAGACTCATCAGGGACTCTGTACAGCAAACTGGCATAGCACCTGCAGGAAAAGGGTGCCTGGCCTCAATTACAAGGGGATTTTAAAGGAAAAAACCACAAGCAGGGTGGTACGTGCCTTGGCTGTTCAGGACTGGGTAAGAGTAGGTGACCTTTGGATTCACTGACGTGGGGGCTAGGGGAATTTCCAAATTGTTACTAATGGTTTCCCACAAGGACAGTTGTGACAAGAAGATGCTATTTACCAAAATTAGTCATTTCCTGACCACCTGAATGGGGTCACTTTGACCGGGGTGGGCACAGTTTGGGAGCTCCTTGGAACTGTTTATGGTTCCTTGGCTGGAGCTGAATCAGCCTTGTGCCACGCAGGAAATTTCTCAAGGTGGCTTTTTCTCATCCTCTCCCGTTTGCCTTACTCTTATACAGTATTTTCAAGTGGGTTTTGTACATTTGGCTGTTTTGTGGGGAAACTCCCAAGACAAATAGTCAGCAGGGAGAGTATGAATACATATCTCTCCTGACTTGCTCGTTGAATTTTGTCTGGGTTTGGTGTGATAAAGGACATCTTTGTGTCAGTGTTTTTTTATTTTAACAAGTTAGGGCCTACTATGTTATCTGGCTGGCTTAGAACTCACAGATATCACTATGCCTGTGCCTCCTGAGTCACCACACTCTGCTTTCATCAGTGATTTCCACAGCCCTTAGGGAAGGGAAGAGTGATGGTGGTGAAAGAGATCCCTGTAGGGAGGAGTCCCCCCATAGCACTGTCCTGTCCAAGAGTGGAAAGCTGGAGCACTCACTAAAGACCACGGCGGCCGAGTCACTCAGCTGAGGTGGTGCAAAATGAAAAGATGACGTATCAGAGTCGTCGTTTTAACTACGCTGTTTGCTTTGGGAAGGGGAAAGCAAAGGAAGTGGGAGTAGATAGAAGATATAAACTCCCAGGAGTGTGCGTTAGGCAAACAATACTCATCTAATAAAAAATGATGATGATGGCTTGGACTAAAGAGTGATTGGTCTTGAGAGACCCTGGAGAAGGGGAATCTGCTGACCTCACATCCGAATATTGGGGGCAGTTCCTCAGACAGTGTCCTGAAACCAAGTCAATGGGACTGCCATCCACTGAGCGTGGGGATGCTGACGGAGCTCTCCTGGGATGAATTATGATGGGACACCTTCAAAAACAAAATTATAATAATGTGATTATTTTATTTGGTTTCATTTTTAGTTCTAAAATTCAGCAGCAATTCAATTCATAAAATAAAACCCGTTAGTTATAATGAATTATCATGGAATGATAACCATTGCCATTATTTTAAAGATAAGCAATAGGTAAATATATATATTTTTATATATAATGCAAGACCCCTGCGTATTCATTCAATTTCTTCACAGTTCCTCTTGTGATGCCCCTTTTTACTTTCTGTGCGCTGTCTACTTCTTAGCAGATCAATGCACTTATTATCCTAGTTGCCTTGTTCCTTAGTCTTCACACCAAACCCGTGCATGGGGTTCACACCATGTTTTGGGGGTTAGACCACCCTGAGCTTGTCTGAATTGTGAATTTTTCCAGTGAATTTTATGTCATCTAGTGCTTTCTTCTTTCTCATGAGTGTGTTTCTCTCAACTTAGGGGACTCCTCTCTACTTTGTTTTTTTTTTAAATGTTCAGGAAAGTCTCTTAATTTTTTTGTTTTGTTTGAGATGTTTATGGGAATGTATGTACTCAGGTTTAATTTATTCAGGAATGTCTCTACCTGTCCAGCATTTCTAAAGTTCCAGGCACATTATTTTTGGTTGTCAGGTTTGATTTCTCCGCAGTCCCACGAAAGTTGTATAACTTTTCTATAGAGAAATAAGGTGTCCCGTGCATTGACTACTCCTCCCTACCCATTATTTGTTTCTTTTTCTTTTATTATTCTTACTTTGGAGTCTTCTGCTTTATCTCTAACCTTTGGAAAATTCTCTTTAACTCATGTGGAGTGTTCGGGGAAACTGACTGTAAGTTACAGTACATTTGTGTGTGTTTGGGGGAACTGATTATAAGCTATAGTACATTTGTCTGAGATAAATCTGGCTATGACTTTTGACCTGGGTGTCTAATTTTCATCTCTGTGCTTGGGGAATTTTCTTTTATAACTTGAAAGTGTTCCCTTTGATATTCACAGGTTTTCTTAAGTCCTGACAAGTTGAGTACTTCCTCTGCTCATGTCACCCAGTAGATCCCATACTCCCCTCATTCTTCCTTCTTACAACTTCTCTATATTTCCAAGTAGCCTGTCTTCACCCTCTGTGTTCTTTCTTCTGTTGGGTCTATTCTACTCTTGGTGCCTCTCATTGTGTTTTAAGATTTGCTTAATGTTATATTCACCCAAAGATTTTAGTTTTATTCTTAAAAATTGCCTTCATGTTTCTGTGAAATTTCTTTACTAGAGTATTAAATCATTTCTCTGTGTTTTCTGCATGCTCATTGGGTTTACTGAAACAGCTCCTTTGAGATTCCACTAGGGTTTACTACCAAGACTAATGTAGTAGATTTCTGTCACCATATTTTGAATGCTAGATGAGATCATGAATCTCTGCCAGTTCTTATTGATGTGCAATGCTGTCTGCACATTGAAGGATTAGGCATTTGTTTGTACATGTATTTTTGTTGTATAGCATTTTGTTGTTGTTGTTGTATAGCTTTTATTGTATAGTTTTGTGTGTGCCTGCTTCATTTCCCAAACCTAAAGTTACTTCTGCCATTTTTATCACTAGATGGCACTCCAAATTGTTAAAAAAAAAAAACTCACTGTATTACTGTGTTACTGTATTTCAACACTAGAGGGAAATCCAAGCTCAGTTTTGTTCCAAACCCCAAATTGGTGTGCTGTGTAGCATGAATTAAGTGGTATCTAAAAAAGGTGCTGTGTTCCCACAGCTTGCTCCTTGGCTGGAGTAGATCAAGGGCTTGTCCATAGTCCCTGGCTGTAGTTAGACTGTGGAAGGACCAGTTTTAAGTCTCAGGCCTCAGTTTGGTGCTCACCTTCCTTCACATTCCCTAAGTGGAAAGTTTTCTCTACGTGTTACACTGTTTGGACTTTTGGGAAAGCTGCAATAAGCAGTTATGTGATCCCCGACACTAGAATGTTGGCTCACACGCTCAGCCCAAGCTCAAAGCCTATGGAGGCAGCGCAGCACCCATGCAAGACAAAGGGCCACACTGCTATACACTTCCAGACTGTTATAACCAGCTCCAGATAGTGTTGTAGGCAGAGTTTTTTTACAAAACACTTTTTATTAATTTATTTGTTACATTACAATTCCTCCTCCCTCCTCTCCTCCCACTTCTCCCACTTCCCCTCACCTCCCATCTGCTCCTTGGAGAAGGGTAAGGCCTCCCTTAGGAAGTCTGCTAAGTCTGTCCTATCATCTCGTTGAGGCAGGACCAAGACACCTTCCCACCACCCACACCCCTGTGTCTAGGCTGAACAAGGTATCTCTCCATATAGAATGGGCTCTACTAAGTCCATTTATGCGTTAGAGTTTAATCTTGGACCCAGTGCCAGAGACCTCATATATTCTCCCAGCCGCACCCCTGTTACCTATATTAAGGGTTCAGTATTATATAGGTTCCCCATTTGTCAGACCAGAGTCAGTGATCTCTCACTAGCTTGGGTCAGCTGATTTCATGGGTTTCTCCATCATGATCTTGACTCCTTTGTTCATATTATCTATCTCTGCTCCCTCACTTAGATTGTACTCCAGGAGCTTGACCCAATGATTAGTGGGGGTTTCTGTATCTGCTTCCATTTGTTTCTGGAAGAGGGTTCTAGATTCTCTGGGGTTATGGATTGTAAGCTGGGTATCTTTTGCTTTATGTCTGGTATCCACTTATGAGTGAGTACATACTATATTTGTGTTTCCGGGCCTAGATTACCTCACTCAGGATGGTTTTTTTTTTTTTTTTGCTAGGTCTGTCCATTTGTGTGCAAATTTTAGGATGTCATTTTTCTTACTGCTGAGTAGTACTTCATTGTGTAAATGTACTACAATTTTTATCTATTCTTCAGTTGAGGGTCATCTAGGTTATTTCCAAGATCTGGCTATTACAAATATGTTGCTATGAACATAATTGAGCAAATGTCCTTGTGGTGTGAACGTGCCTCCTTTGGGTATATGCCCAACAGTGGTATTGCAGGGTCTTGAGGCAGGTTGATCCCTAATTTTCTGAGAAACTGCCATACTGATTTCCACAGTGGTTGTACAAGTTTGCACTTGTACAGCAACAGAGGAGTGTTCCTCTTTCTTCACATCCTCTCCAACACAAGCTGTCATCAGTGGTTTTTTTTTTAATTTAATGACCATTTTTTAATTGAGCTATACATTTCCCCCCCTCCTCTTCCGTCATTCCTGTAGGTGAGTTTTTTTGCTGCGACCTAGATCAGCTCTGTTCTGCAAGCTGCTTCTCAAATAACTACTCAAAGATTTCTTGTTAATTATAAATGCTTGGTTGGTAGCTCAGGCTTATTCCTAACTAGCTCTTAAAACTTCATCTATGTGCTACCCGAGCCTCGTGCTTTTACCTCTCCTGCATGTCCTGCTTCCTTTCCATCTGGCTGGTGGCTCCTTTGACTTCACCCTCATTCTTCCCAGTGTTCTTTCTGGCCCGAAAATCTTGCCTAGCCATCAGCCACTCAGCTTTTTATTGACAATGAGAGCAACACATATTTACAGTGCACAAAGATTGTTGCACAGTGTAGTGATGGCTGTGTGGTGTGCATCTCTCTGGCATTGAGACTGTTGCGGAGGTTCTGACTGTGGCACTGGACCACTAGTCTGTCACTGAGTTCTAAGACAGTCCTGTCTTCACACCATCTGTATCCTTAGTAAACATATTCTTGCTCCCTATTGTGCTGTCTTACATTGTAAGTAGTTTTGTCAATACAGTCCCTTGGCTTTCTAGGCTGATGCTACACTGGGTAGCTTTAGTCTGGCTCCTACAGTCACAAAGATGGGAAGTCTCAATATAGGTAGGTATACTTACCTACTCCATGCCTGGTAAGGAAATAAGATGAAACACAGACCTGTCCATCTGTGTACCAATCTTCACTAGATGCTAGGGGATGCCGACAGGTTTATTCTATAAGACTAGGCTTAAATCTAGAACCTTGGTTTCCATTTGATGTGAGTTTCACTGCAGCAAACACTGGCCCTGAACTACAATGCAAAGTTTTGTAGTAACTTTATCCTGTTCCATAATGTGTTACCTTTTTCTTCTTCCGCTGCTCATAGGTAAGGGCAGAGGGCGCCTTGGTGTTTGTCTAACATGGTTCTACAAGTTTAATCTGTGTGCACTGTTTTGGGGGCAGGGACTGTGGAGCTCCTGGCACTAGATTTCGCTGCAGGGGCCAGATGCTGGTTTTCAAGTCTAAGGGCTTGATTTAGTCCCTCTCCCTTCCACAGGCTGCACATTGTTTAGAGTTGGAAGAGGAAGGATATCGATTACTGTTCTTGTCTTCTTTAACATGTCTTTCCCTCTTACCTACTGAAAATCAGGTGCCAATGTACTCTCTCCTGGCTCCCTTAGCTCCTGAAGTTTGGTGTATGAATACTACTCAAATTGATGCATCTATTGAGAAGACGTTGCTAGTATATTCACCATTGTGTTTTCATCTGCATTCTACAGAATGTAACCCATGTTCTGATAGACTGAGATTAGTTATAAATACAGCAGAAACAAAGGGAAAATCAGATTAATTATTTCCAAGTTTCTTTTATTAAAAGGCTGGATAGGGTGACAGTAGGAAAATGGCTTATTGGTTAATGTGAAGATACTTCAGGTCTCAATTTTTGCATAAAGATCAAACCAGGGTTGCTTCATTAGCATGTCCATTGAAATCAGCCTGCTTGAGAAATTCAGCTGTCTCATTTCTTCTGAATTCTTAGTTCAACAACTTGGAGATTTAGCATGGGTGACTCTATTTTCATTTTAGCCTGATCTGTTGGAAGACCATTCAGATGCCTGATCCAAAACAATGGCCTTCTACAGCTCATATATGTATAATATATATATATATATATATATATATATATATATATATATGAGAGTCTATGGAACACCACCGGAAGTTGAATAGGCAGCTCAGGGGAGAGGTCAGCATTACTTATATAAATTAGGATTATAGTTAGAAATTGATGTCCAGACAGGTGTAGGGAGGCAGTGTAGAATGAAAAGAGAAAAATAAGGAAGGGACTAATCTAGAGGCTTGGGGACCCTCTCCCCACACACTCAAGAGATGAGGGGATACGTGACCAGAATATCTGAGCTGCTATGACAGACAGATCTAAGGAAGCTAAAGATGTACGGTGATGCAAGGGGGAGAGAGAAGCATGTTTCCAGAAGGACCCCATGAGAAACTGAGTTAAATATGACTCAATGACTGAGATAGACTAAACAGTGTGCAGAATTTGACAACATGGAGATAAATGTCTCCAGTACAAAGTCTACACTGAAGTGGGCTGGTGTGTGAGAAAAACTGAGTGTCACAATTCTTTCAGGAAATTTGTTTTCTAGCCTTCATTTGTTTTCAAATTGTGATCTCAACACTGATGTCATTGTATTATATGATCCCCTTGTCTAGAAGCTTTTATGATTGGATTGTGTTTGCTCTGTATATTTGCTAGGCATTGATAATGTGTAGGATTTTGACATCTTCATATAAGCTTAATTTTATACAGCTTCTGATATGTAGTAGTGACTTCATAAGTTAAATCAATGGTTCCTCATAATTCCTCCATTATTTTCTTTTTAAAAGCCCATAAACATTCATCTTTACATTATTTATAAAACATTTGTAGTGTCACTAAAACTTTTAAAGGAATGTTCTAACTATTTCAGTCAAGGCTTGGAGCCCTCCACTGCCGTTGGTAGAAGAACAAGCAACAATGGTAGTCTGGAGATACTCTGCATGATATTTTAACCACTGATTCTGATGCCTTATGGCAGGAGAAGCTCTTACTGAGAAAGAAGATAAAATTTTCCTAAAACGTGATTTCTTTAGTTGTTATTTTATGTGTATCATGTCTTTGTGTTAGTATTGTTCATACCCATTTTGAAGAAAACTTAAGAAATTTCTATATTCCTAGTTTCCTGCATTGCCCAGCATTACATCACCTGACTGCCACCCTAGACGACATTCTCATGAGGACCATGGATCCCGAACCCATCTTCCCATGCGGTATCACAGAAAATGCTCAGTGGATGGGTCATTCAAGGAGCCAATGGGATCACAAAGAGGAAATCATCCCCAAATGCAGGAATTTTCAGAATCCTTTGAACAGCACCTATGCCTTCGAGCCAAGCACTCTCCCTCTTCGGTATGTGGCAGAACATATTTGAGCCATAGGGAAGGAAGCCCAGAGCTCTTGTCTTGTCAGTTTTGAGGAGGCCAAGTCTAACTTCTTTGTTCATAGCTTATGATAAGTGACTTAAAAGCATCATTGAGTATTTTATTATAATTTAACATTAAATATCTATTTCTTATCAGCTCTAAATTGAGTATATTGTAAAATGTCAGTGTAAAATCAAAATTGTAGAATGCATGTTCATTTAAACATTTCCCAGCATAATAATCCACATAGTAGTCTTAACATAGAAGCATTAAATAGTGACATTTGACAATAAAATTTAAAGCATAGATATATATATATATATATTTTTTTTTTTTTGGTTTTTACGAGACAGGGTTTCTCTGTATTGTTTTCGAGGCTGTCGGTCCAGCCCAGTTTCGAACTCACAGCGATCTGCCTGCCTCTGCCTCCCGAGTGCTGGGATTAAAGGCGTGTGCCACCACCGCCTGGCAAAGCATATATATTTAACAGTGGAATTTATCAGTAAATTTATACAAATGCACAAACAAAGAGAGGGAGAAAGACACACACACATACACACACACACACACACAGAGAGAGAGAGAGAGAGAGAGAGAGAGAGAGAGAGAGACAGAGAGAGAGAGAGAGAGAGAGAGAGAGAGAGGAGAGATTCTAAACTATTGTTTTTAGCAAAGATGCCAGGACATATGATACCAAAAATCAAAGGATGATCAAGTCTCTTTTACAAAATGTCATAGTATTTCCTGATAACACACACAAGTTTCCATGTAGTCTATCTCTAGATTACTTTTACTGTTTAACACAATGTACAAGCCATGGGTGCTGTTGTTACAGTGTGTTGTTTAGGGAATACGAACAAGAAAAAGAACTATATATTTTCAGTGCAGACAATTTTCCCTAATTAGGTTTGCTAATTTATTGGCTGAATTCACAAGTTTGGAACTCAGGGCTAAGGAAGATTGACTGTTTCCTTTTGTTTAAAGACCAAATCGTACTAACATGTAGATTTAATATTTTTATAAATCTGAGCATGAAGAGGCCCAAACTGCATCTGCGTCCTGCTCTTCACCAACAATGTTAGATTGCATTATAGTTAATTCCTTTCCTTTCGTCCTCTTCCCCATCCTTCTCTTCCTTCCTTCCCTTTCCCTTCCCTTCCGTACCCCCTTCTCATCCTCTGCTCTTTTTCCTTCTTCTTGTCCTTCCCTCCTTTCTTGATAGGGGATTTTTCTGTGATGCCCAGTTGTCCTTGAGCTTACTACATAGCCCAGACTGGCCTTGAACATTTGATTCTCCTACCTCAGCCTCCCGAGTGCTGTAATTTCAGGCATATGCCAACATGCCTGTCTAAATTCTTCTATTTTGGCATTAAATCTCAAATTGGACTGTTCTGATTTCCAAATGAAACAGAAAATATATAGTTCTGATAGTTTTTCCAACCTCTTGACTGAGATATGATGTAAATACCCTAAAATTCATTCAAGTGAAGGGTTTGCTCAGTGGTTATGACATACCCATAAAGCTGTATCATCATCAGCCACTATTAGTCTCATTACACTTTAGGCTCATTATTTTAAACATTTTCATTGTTTGAAAATTTTATACTTGCATGGAATATGTTTTGATCAAATCTACCCCTTTATTTTCTCACCTCCAATTCCTTCTCTATCCCCAACCACTATTTCCTACCAGTTTTCTGTGCTCACTTTCCATCTTAAAAAAAACAACCCACAGATGAGTCTACTTAGTTCTCTCTCTCTCTCTCTCTCTCTCTCTCTCTCTCTCTCTCTCTCTCTCTCTCTCTCTCTCTCTCTCTCTCTGTGTGTGTGTGTGTGTGTGTGTGTGTAGGACCATCTATTGCTGGAGCACCAGCAGCTTCTTAGGGACCACATCCCTGAAGAAAACTGACTCTTCTGCAACCATCGGCTGTCAATAGCTCCTCACCTAGGTGTGGGGCTTCATGAATCCCTCCCCCATTCACTGGCTGGCTTGATCATGTGCTCACCATTAGTCTCTGTGAGTGTCTTACAGATAATCTAATCTTAGGAAGAGGAAAACTAACCTGGAAAAAACACCACTGTAACTTTTCTTTTTATATTGCTCTGTTAAGAACTAGAGACATCCATGACTAAATTTTGATTGCAAGAATATTAGTGAATGATTGAATGAAAAATTTTGTCAGAACTTTCCCAGAGCTTGTCTAATTTTTAATTTTCTCTTAATTTTTATCTCAGCCCATTACTTGTTTCTCTCTCTGACCTTCAGAAGAATCCATGTTGGAGAGAAATAAAGCAAATTTATTTGTTTATGCTGTAGAGGAGCCAACATGACAGCTGCTTGAACCAGACACCTCCGTAAAGTTGCACCAGAAGGGCCGAGGCAGTCACATGACAGCCACTCATCATAGTATATGTTTCACAGGTCCTTACCTCCTAATTTTCTAGTTCAAGGAAGACAAAGGAAAAGGAATTCTCTTGTTTGTTATGTATTTACATAAATACACATGGATAAGTCAGTTATCAATGCCATTGTTTTGCTCTGGAAGGCACTACCTGGGCATCAAAATGAAAGAACCCTCCCCCAAAGTTCCTTATCATATAGCCCTATTGGAGTTATCATTTCACCACTAACTATTCTTAATTTCCCTTTAGGCTCATGTATTGATGCTTTGTCTCACTCCATATATGTGGAGTACCTAGAAGGTAGAATCCATCTAATGCTGCATATTCTGATCCTAGAACAACAGTGTGTGTTCAATAAAGTGAAGTCCTTACTGTAAATGGCTCCATGACTCCTATCCCAGCCGATCTACTAGAGAATGTTGCTTTGGTTGGATGTCCTTCCTAAACACTGCACTCTTCACATAGCCCTTACACTAACATTTAGTAAAACCTTTTTGTTTTTGCTTTATGATTAAAACCATCAACATGTTAAATTGGGTTGATGTTTACTTGTTATTAGAAAGTAATACATGGAAGTCTTCTACAAAAATCAAAGCTTTATTCCTGTCTAGTTGTTGGGACAAATGTGGGACATGGTCAACTGCTGGTGCATTTTACACTTTTCCAATGCTCTTCCAGGGACCCAAGGGCTGGAAGGATAGAAACGAAAGACATTGCCTAGGGACTGACACAAGATCCCACAAGAAACTGGAGGACAGAAGGAACTCAATGCAGGAGACACATGGAGATGCACCCATGGATCCCCTAATTGAAAAGGGGCCTGAATAATGCTTTGTTTCCACATCTCAGTGACAGATGTCACTGACTGTTCTGAGACCCAGTTCTTCCTCCAGAATGTCAGCTTGTAAGGGTGTCTGCAGATGCTGAGACTGAAGTGGGCAGTTGGGATGACTGCTTCTCAAGATGACTTGTGTCACACTCCAGATGACTTTGACATCTTGAGTGTATAATCTGCTTTTTATGTCTTTCTATGGTAAGAAAAAAATAAAGGTATTTGAGCAGAATAAAAGGATTCCTAAAATTGTAAAATGCGTTTTCTAATGAGTCACCTGTATATCATCACCAATGCCTTTTCATATCAACCTCCCAGATCACTCTGAACAAAAGTCATTGTTGTCTATGAGTGTACTTCCTTATCCCAAGCAATTATACTTGTGTAGAAGCCATTACTTAATGAAACTTAATAACTAGCATGCCAAGTATTAGACTGGATGTCTTAACCCATTATTTAAAACAATCCTTACTACACTGAGGTGACACCTTCTATTGGGGCTCTCTGAAAGTCAGAACTAAAGGGACATGCCGTTAGCTTTCTTGTTACTGCAGTAAACAAGACAAAACGACAGTTTACGGAGTGAAAAAAGATCTTTACCTACCCCACATCTGACAATGAACTCAAGAAACTAGACATCAAAAGACCAATTAATCAAATAAAAATTAGGATACATATCTAAACAGAGAACTCGGAACAGAAGAATCACAAATGACTCAAAGTCACTTGAGGAAATGGTCAACATTTTTAGTCATCAGAGAAACGCAATTCAAAACAACTCTGAGTTACCATCTTACACCTGTCAGAATAGCCAAGATCAAAAATTCTGATGACAGCTTATGCTGGAGAAGATGTGGAGTAAGGGGAGCACTCCTCCATTGCTGGTAGGAGTGCAAACTTGTATAGCCACTTTGGAAATCAGTATGTCAGTTTCTAAGAAAATTGGGAATCAGTCTATTTCAAGACCCAGTGATACCATTTTGAGCATATATTCAAAGGATACATGCTCACACCACAAGGACATTTACTTAACTATGTTCATTGCAGCATTATTTGTAACAGCCAGAACCTGGAATCAACCTAGATGCCCCTCAGCTGAAGAATAGATGAGAAAAATGTGCTACATTTATACAATGGAGTACTTCTTAGTAGCAAAAAACAATGACAGCTTGAAATTTGCAGGCAAATGGGCAGAACTAGAGAACACCATGCTGAGTGAGGCAATCCAGACCTGGAAAGACAAATAAATATGTACTTATTCATAAGTGCATATTAGACATAAAGCAAAGGACAACTTGCCTACAGGTCACAATCCTAGAGAACCTAGGTAACAAAGAGGACCCTAAGAGAAACAGATGGATCTGCCTAGGAAGGGGAAAAAGAGAAGATCTCCCGAGTAAATTGGGAGTGTGGTGGCCAGGGGAAAGAAGGAAGGGGAGTGGGGAAAAATGTATAGCTCAATTTTAAAAAGTAGGGGTTTCTGTACAGAAGACAGGAAAACAGTTTCTCGTGAAGGAAATGTATGTTAATGTATAAACTTAGGAAGCAAGGAAAGAAAAAAAAGAAAGCAAAACTTGATAGTGTTTTCTGTTTAGAGTAAAGAACAAAATCCCAAATTCACTGAAGAGATAAGAATTTCAATGGATTAAATTGATAGTAAAGGCATAGTTGGAGGGAGAAGAAATCTATTAGGAAGAGATGCTATGGTTCGAGATTAGTGTTGTGGCATTGGTGCTCATATATTTTAAGACTGGCCATGAGCATGGTGGTGTGGGAGGTAATAGAACATAAGGTAAAATCTTAATGGGAGGACTGAGTCATGAGGGAAGCCACCCTCAGAAGGGATTGAGGCATCTTCCTTGGGATTTCTGAGCTCAGGGAAGATTGGGTTGTTATAAGAGTGATAGCAACCCCCAAATTTCTCTCTGTTTGGTTTTATCCACATAGTCACTGATAGAATGCATATTGTTTCTTTCTTGGCTATTAGGAACAGTGCATCACAGTATTGCACTTTTTAAATTTTCACTGGGAGTGTATAAGGTGGGAATTTTGGACTACACACTAGCTTTATTCTTAAATTCTTGGATTTAAAAATCTCAAATCCTAAACTGTTCCCATAAGGCTAGAACAAATTATGCTGATGTAAATCAAGAGCTTAATTGAGAACTTTGTATTTCTCATTTATTTTTGTGTGTCCCTAGTGTCTGAAACCAGCAGCAAGCATGCAATTTTTACTTATTGAGTGAATGAGTGGTGACTTCTATTCTTATACTTTTCAGGACCTCATTTTTTGTAATGTTTTTATTTAAATTAGAAACATGAATGCTTCACATGTCAATCCCAGCTCCCTCTCCCACCCCTCCTCCCTTGTCCCTCCACCAGTCCCCTAGCCCCCCATCCAGTCCGCACATCATTCCCCAGGGAGGGTGAGGCCCTCCTTGGGGGGATCTCTAAAGTCTGTCATTTGGGATCTCATTTTTTTAATCAAGTAACTTATTAAAACATTCTTTAAAAATTCAAAGGGGCACTGGAGAAATGGCTCAGTGATTAAGGGCGATTTTTGCTCTTGCAGAGCTTTCAAATTTCTTCTAAGAGTCCCACATTAGGGGGCTCACAACTGACTGTAACCCTGCACTTCCTTCTCATGATTCCTCCTTCTCCAGGTTGTATGGAAAGTCTATTTCCCATCACAGAACATATTCATTGCTGTGTATAAATTGCCTCCAAGTGTTGTGGTGGGAGGATAGGCATAAACACAAAATGGTTATTGTGTTTATTTGCTTAGGCTCTCCAGTAGGCATGGGCACTGACTAACCATTATTATCAGTGTAAAAGAGATGTTACACTGATAATGAGCCCTTTTAACATGGTGAAGGAACCAAACCTTGGCTAGGAACCTTTTGTCATATCAGACATATCTCTATTAACTGTGGTTAGCTACTATGTATCCATCACTCAATTACTATGTATCTATTTATTGCTCAGCTACAATGTATCCATCACTCACTGTATTCTTGTGAACAATGGCATTTCTTTTAATCTTTTGGCTTGTAACTGTAGTAAAATGATTAGCCACTGTTTTCAGAGAAGTATCGAAGCAAATGGAAAAGAAATGAAGAACATATGAGTAAAATAAAGTTATAGACTTTTATTGAGCTATTAGAAAACCAGATATATCCACCTAGGTAGAATTTTAATAACAGGCATTGGTTCTACAGTGTCTCCTCTCTCTGGCCATCTCCCCAAACAAAACAAAGACTTTTCTCAGTCCTCAGTTGAAATTTATCTATTGGTAGAATTTCATTCCTTCTTTTTGTTTTTTCCTCAGCTGATGGGAGCAGATACAGAGACCTACAGCCAATGGAGAGAGGGCTGAAATTGGAGCTCTCCAATAGGTCCCTCCCCTTGGAGCCCTGAGAACCCCCAAGGAAGAGGGAAAGGGAGAACTTTAGGAGCCAAAGGTGTTAGGGATGCAGGAGATCATGGTCCATAGAACCAACCAAGCAAGGCCCACAGGAACTCACAGATACTGAAGTGACAAATATGGACTCTGTAACTCCCAATTCTACTTTAATGAGTTTTTTGTTTTTATTTTGTGACTCATTTTGTTTAAACAGGGACACTCATATGGTTATGGGTGTAAAGCTATATGCTGGGCATGAGTAACTCTCCAGTGTTTACATCACTGAAGACAATGGCGCCCTTCCTCCAGAATTCCTCAACTACTCTTAGCTCCTTGAGATCATCCTTTTGTGTTTCCATATACATTTCAAGAATTTTTTTCTGTGTCTGTAAAGAATGAACCTGGAATTTTGATAGAGGTTGCACTGAATCTGTAGATTACTTTTGGTAGGATGACCACATTCATAATATTAATTTTGATGCACAAATATGGATGTCTTTCCCTCTTCTAGACTTATTTGTCAATGTCTTCAATATTTCATTGTAGATGTCTTTAATTTCCTATGTTAGGTAGATTTATTGGCAGGTTTTGTGTGTGAGTGTGTGTGTGTGTCAATTTAAAGAGATTATTTCTCTGATTTCTTTTTCAAAATGGTTTTCATTAGTACATAGGAAGGCTACTAATTTTAGTTGTGCTAACTTTGTAACCTACTATTTTATTGAATGTTTTTCAGCTCTAAGGCCTTTTATTATTTTTTTGATGGGGTGTGTAGGGTCTCATGCATAGAATCTATCACATTCAAGTAGGGGCACTTTATTTTTTCTCTTTCTATATGTATTCCCTTTATTATATTCCCTTGTCTTATTGTTTTAGGTAAAACTCCAATCACTATATTGATTATAATGGGAGTAATCTGAATAGGAATGTTGAATGATGTTGAATATAGGCTTCTAATATATAGCCTTTATTGTGTTGAAGCATGTTCCCTTAATCCCTGGCTTCTCCATGAGTTTGATCATGAAGTGATATTAGATTTTGCTAAAGGTCTGGTCCTTTTTCTTTTCTTTTTCCAGGCAGGGTTTCTCTATATTGCTTTGGCCTCGAACTCACAGAGATCTGCCTGCCTCTGCCTCCAGAGTGCTGGGATTAAAGGTGTGCACCACTAATGCTCGACTGGTCTGGTTCTTTTTTGTAGTTGTTTTTGGAAGTAGTTCTGAACTCCTTAAGAAATTATACAGTAGTAACTGGTAACATTTCTGTCTGTCTATCCCTCCATACCTAATGCTCTCTTCCCTCTCCCTTCATCCTCCCTCTTTCCTGCTCTTTTTCTCATTTTATTTTGGTTCCTTCATTCCTCTTTACCTTCCTCTTCCCATGCCAAACTGCCCAAAAATCATTAGTGACCTCATTTTCCCCTCTTCTCCCCTCTTTTCTCTTCTTTCTCTCACATCATTTTTTTTCTTAAGGGCTAAGAATTAGAGTAGTTATATTTTATCTGGGCCCATGAGGAGGTATGTGTATAGAGGTGTGTGTGTGTGTGTGTGTGTGTGTGTGTGTGTGTGTGTGTGTGTGTGTTGTTTATATGCTAGTCTGCATGTCCCAGAACGGAAGATTCAGATGGGGCAGTTAAAAGAGTCATTAAAGAGCATTAATTATGTATTTATATAAATATAATCAGATTACTTTGAGTCAGTTTTCTCAGAGTTACATATATGAAAAGTAGGCAGTTTGCATGTGTATGTGTGTGCATATGTATGAAAAGATGCTGAAACTGTCCTTGGATTGAAATAGGAGATTTTAAATATATATTTATCTGTAAATGCATATATGTGCACATATTTTTGAAATTTCATG